TAGAATCATAGAATCATTTTTTTTGCTCCATGATCTTCCCCGGCACCGAGGTCAGGCTGACAGGCCTGTAGTTCCCCGAATCCTCCTTCCAGCCCTTCTTGTAGATGGGCCAGATAGTAATACAAAGAACCGATGAATCCACACTACGCTATTTTGCTCAGTGCAGTGAGTCTGCCTCCTCTGTGCCATCCAGATTTTCTAGAAAAGTAGAAGAACTAAATAGCACCGAGGACTTCACTGTTTTGTCAAATTTGTTTGGAATTGATCAAATGGCTCTAAAGTTACTAGGACGGAACTGACAAGACAGCACAATGCCCAAGGGAACAGAAGCATCTGCATCTTACACGTCTACTATGTCTACCCTGGTGTTTTTTCTGCAGCTAATTTACCTTATATCAAGGCTGCTACGTTCGGTAGAACCAAACATTACAAACCTGAGTTTGCAATGTCTAACCTATATGCCTATATGTCAGTGCTCTCTAGACACAAAGGATATTCTCAAATGTGAGTTTTGAGAATGTGTGTGTGTGGTTTTTAGTAAAGTAAATGTTAACACTGGCAAAACTCTGAGTTTTCCATCTTAGATGCCCTATTTCTACAAAAACAAATACATAATGAAATGCAATACCTGTCCTACAGCAAGCCACTCTGAATTCTCCAAGGACAATGAATTTTGACAAAATACTCCTCAGTTTTACAGTCTCCCCCTGTCTCAGGAGAAATTTGGCAAAGCTTAGCCCAATTCCCTGAGACATCTGTTCATTCACATAAAAAAAATGAGCTGGAATGGTTTGCCAGCCAAGATACTACCTCCTGAGAAACCAAGGCTCTTTTATTTAAAATCCATGTGAGACAAGAGTGGCAGGGAGTTCAATTTCATCATCTCTATCTGTTCTTATAGCAACCCTGATAAATTGGGCATGAATCCATAGCTGGGAATTGAACCCATACTTTACATCTATAGGAAGCACATACCCACATTGCTTTTTTCTGGGAAGGTTTGTGCGTTGCTGTCCTCCTGTTACCAGAGCTGCACAAGCACACGCATCAGACGTGCCTGCACCAGTGAATGGAGGTGTCTGCAATTCTCCCACATGAAACAGTTTCTCCTCTATATGCTGAGTCCAGAACCACGCCAGGAATGGCAGGAAGCACAGCAGTCACTGTCCGTCCCTTCCCTCCGTCTGTAGGTCACCGGGAAGCCACACAGATCCAGCCCAAGGGCAGGATCAGGGAGGGCATCATGGAACTTCTCACCTCTGATGGGGAGGGACTGCTTTTACCAGCATGACTCATGGCAACAATGCCCTGCAGACCTGAAGAGGCTTTCCCTGCGCTGGCTAGACCCACTAAGAACAGGCTCATCTCTCCTGAAATCGAACAGCAAGGAGATGGGAACACGATGTGCAGTGCCCAAACCAGAGGACAGCACTAGCTGCTGACTGAGGGCATAAGCCAAGGAGCAAGGGAAGCTTTTGCACTTTTGCCTCAGAGGTCTGCATGAAATCTTTTTGAAAGACAGGAGAGTTTCTTTAATATCAACTCAGTGTGGTGCAGGGACAACTATTTTCTCACGGGAGGTACACGGCGCATTGCAGGAGGAAGGGGAAGGAGTGACATGAAGAAGGGGTTCGAGATGGAGGGATGGCTGAAGAACTGCTGAGGATATGGGACCTGAGGTGGGACCCACCTGGTGGGAAACTCTGAAGCAGAGGCACTATGGAGTTCAAAGACACGCGTGCGGCTGCAGCTCCATCACAGACCACTTAGGGCTGGCCTGGCGTGTGCCCCCGGCTGGGGGGCAGCCAGAGGGAAGGTGACTGCGTGAGGGAGCTGCCAGGCATCGCTGGCAGAGGTGACTGCAAAAAGAAAAATATTGTGGGGCAATGGAAACAACTGGGGGGCTGCACCTTGAAGGATAATATTCTGTGACAGCTGAAGGGGCTCCCTGGGCTCACAAGTATTTCACCAAGGGGAAATTGGTCTGTGTTCAGTACAATATTTTAGCCGCATCTATTCCCTCAGCTTCACACATGCAGGCAAGACCTCACCACATGATTACCGTGAATTACACTGAGAGGGAACAAAGGAGCAGAAATACAGTGACGTTCCCCTAGTCACTAGGGGTGGGCTGTGCCTTACCAATCCTCATACCTAATTAAATCACAGTAGAGAGAAACCTGATGATAGTGGAAGGATTTGTGGAGGTGAGGAGGTAATGTTATCATCCAGGTTGGTTTAGATTCAACTCTGAATGAGGGACAGGGGCTAGGGCAACTGCCTGAGACCATGAGAGATGACAGAGGATTTGCATCGAGCCGATTGCGAAATGATGCACTTTCCCCAAAAAAAGAAAGGAGCAACATCAGAAACTCAGCTGGTGCTGGGGCTTCTGATGAAGACAATGTGAGGGAGAAAGGAGTGGAGAACACCGGTGCTTAGTGAAAGAGATGTTATTAAATGTTAGATGATCCTGATGTGGAGGAAGGGCAGACAGCATAGCAAGAGGCCATCGCAGCTGCATCCAGATGCCTGCAAGTGTTTCAGAATCAAAAAGGAGGCTTACGAAAGGGAGAAACACAGGCAGGCGTCTCAGGACAAGAGTAAAGGAACAACACACCCCACAGACAGGCTAAGGCAGCAGCATAGCTTACTGCTATCAAGCCACACAGAACTAGTAATAAAAGTATCTGTGAATGCATCAAAAATGAAAGAAGGGCAAAAGGAAAGTGCTGGCTATTAGCAGGAGGGAGAACTAATACCAGAAAGTCTGGTAAAGACTGATGTGTCCAGAGCCGTTTTGGTTCGGTCTTCACAAAAGTTAATTTTGACCATATTCTGAATGAGAATAATTTTATAGCGGAAACAGGAGTACAGGTGTACAGAGGGGGAAGAAAAATTAAAACAGCATAACCTTCTTTCCATGGAAGAAAGGCAGGTACTGGTAACACTTTTAGGCTACCGGTAACACCTGAAAGGTATGAAAACAGATTATCCAGAAGTCAGTTGATAGACATGGAGTAGATAATAAGATGCTAAAGGAAATAACAAGGTGGCAGCCAACAAGAAACTCCTGCCCTCCTGAGCTCTCCCCCTACTAGACCGGTCTGCAAATGGAAGGAGAAGAGGGATTGGAAGTCTCCACTCGTGTTTTCTTCCCGTGCTCTGTGTATGTCTGATGGTAGTCTCCTATTCCTACTTTGTTCTTCTTTCTCTTCTGAGTCTTCCTGCACTTCACAGTCTCTTCGCGCCCTACCCTCTTCCCCCTTGTTCAGGTCCTTCTTCTCTGCTCCTGCATGTTCCTCCAGTCTCACTTCAGTCATGGTTCCCAACTTTTTGCAGCCCCCTTTCAGTCTGCATACATTTCTTCCCTTTGTCCTTCCCCTTCCCTCCTTGTAGCTCTGTTTTTATGAATTCTGAATAGGATATTCTGTTTCCAAGAAAACATCCCAGCCTTCCAAACCAGAACTATATTTACTTCAAAGCTGAAAATCTCAGAGCTGAAAATCTCGCAGCTCAACAACTCTAAACATGGCTTTTAGGAGAGCACTTCTTAAGCGTGGGCAGAGTTTCAATGATTTTTTATCATATTGACATTAATATAAAAAAGTGAAACTTTCAGATTCTAGAAAATATCCGAAATGAGATTCTAATTATTTTAAGATACACAAGATCAAATTTAAAAAACTTTTTTACATTTATAACTTTCAGCATTTGAAAAGCTATTTCTAAACATCTACTTAGAAAATAAGTGCAAATAAGTAGTGTTGCTGCAAAAGAGTTTTACAAAATATTTTGATGGTTTTAAGAACATTTTAATCAATGTAATCTGTATTATTTTCTGATTTCCTATAACAATTGATTTATTTTATGGGTATTTATTTATGCTAAAGATATTTATTCAGCCAGTTGATCATATCCTTTCTTCCTTCCTCAATATAAGGTTTATCTTGAGGATTGATATCTTCTCTTTTGCGATGTACAAACCCATGCGTCTGTCCAGGGTAAATTTTAACTTCATAATCAACTTTACAGTTTTGTTTAAGCTTCTGCTCCAGTAGGGTGACCTGTAACACAGAATGTTCCATGTTGGCTGAGTACGGAGTTAACACGGTATGTATTTACAGTCCTCAAATTGTCCTGGTTTTTTACTTTTCTGGGAGACAGACACAGTGTGTCCTTGCCATTGTTTTCTCTTCTACTAATTTTATACCCAAATGCATTTCTGTTACTACACTTTCTTTATTTAACTGGGCTTTTTTCTCCAGTAAAATAACAGCATGTGACTGCAAAAAAAGTATATGGGTTACTGTGATAATACCTGTAAAGGTAAAAACACCTATTGCTCAGTGTCATGAGAAGGTTAGCACGTAGTGATCACTGTACAAGTTACTACTGATAGACCTCACCAAAAAAAAAAGGGGGAGGCAAGATTTTGAATTAATTTGAAATTGAAGGAGGAGAGGCACAGATACAAAATCGGCAGTTTAAAGCTACTGACGCTTTTGGCAGGAAAATTAAAGTCAACACCACTCAATGAAAACATGTCTTCCTCTGATCCCCTTGGAAGATAATTGTCTTTCTCCAGTCGTTCTCCACCCGTGCTGCCCAGGAAGGCTGTTGACAGAGTACCAGAAAGGAGAAGCTCTGCAGGACAGTGGGATAAGGAAAAGGATAGTCACAGGATTTTTTAATTCTCCTGCAACTAGTGATGCCACTGGTACAGGTGGGGACTTTCTGCTGATTTTATGCACCATCAGTATGATTAAAGGGGGTCTTCTATCTTAAATTTGGCAGAAGTCTTCCTTCAAATTCTTGCCCTTTTCCTCCTAATAACTATCATATATAAATCATGCATATTTTGCAACAGAAACAGAAAACATTTTTTCGTGTCACTGTAAAACTTTTTGATTTGGGGATAAACAACATAAATTTGTGTAGAACCACTGTAAGAGTTAGTGAAAGAGGAGGAAAAGTGCAAATTAGTTTTCTACTTTCTCTTAATTAATTATCAAATTATAAAACAAACATGAAAAGCATTAAAAAGACAAATATCTCTGATGGGAAACTCACCTGCTCCAATGGGATGTAGTCATCCTTTTCAGCAAAAATGAAGAAGGTGGGATGAAGCAAATTGGATCTGCCCTCAAAGAACCTGATCACTCCTAGGGAAGAAGGAGAGGCATATAAAATGAGTCATGCTACTTAAAGTGGTTAAATCACTACCAAAGCTATACAGTCAAAATAAAAGACATCCTGATCAGTTAGAGCTGATCTGCTCGTAATGGAATTAAACACGCTTTGCTTAAAAGTCCCTTTTGTTGTGAGAACTTCCTATGATTTGGGATGTCATTAAAGCTAAAAAGACTAACTCTGTCTGAAAAAGTCAGGGAAGAATTGTTACATTTGCCCCATTCTTGTGGTTTTCTTTGGGCATCTGCTTCTGACCACTGTCAGAGACAGGGTCCTGTGAAAGATGGACACTTCAGAGCTGCTCGCCTCTAGCCTGGTGTGGCCATTTTTAAGATAATTGTAAATATTCATCATTCCAGATACATGGTTAGGATTTCAGTGTACATATATTTATACTGATATAAATTCATAACAAACTGATATTGTAATTTTGACTATTCAAATATATTTGAATTTAAGTAAGAGTAAAACCAACTAGCTACCACCCTGGCCACTCTTTTCATTATTGAAGTTACTACAACAGGAAAGTAAAAAATTAGCAAGTAGCATTGTTGAATTGACTCAGCTGATCAGCAAATCAGTGCAGTGAAACAGTGCCCATAAACTTTCTGGGAAAATACCTTCAATTTCCTTTTGCCTCACATGAATATAAATTGCTCTGGGTTATATAGAAGTACAGAGGTTTGTAACAAAAATATTAAAAGTAGCATAAATGCATTAAGAATGGAAGTCTGAGAGCGCAAGGGTTAAAACAGAGAGTTAAAAATGGTTCATGTTAGTTACAAAGGGCCACTGCCAGGAGTGACATTGAGGAATAAGGTATTCATGTCATGACCTGGAGGTCTGCAGCCTGTGCAGCCCCCAGCCCAGATGACTCATTGGCAAAAGACCTGCACTCTTACAGAAGGACAGCAAAAAGGTTGCAGCGCATCGCTACTGCCGTGTCTTTCCCTGTTAGTCCAACAGGGGAATAGAGTACAGACATATGTGTCAACCAGGTTTTCCAAACAATGAAAACCAGACAGCGGGCAGCAACCTGTCCTAAGACTTATGCAGACCGAGGTAAGCAAGATACTGTGGCAAAGGTCCACCTCATAGTAACTTCTGGCTCCTCAAAGATACTAAAGATGTGCCCAGAAACCATTCTGTCATCCCCAGCCAAGAGGAACCTGAGCGATAGTGAGGGCTTGGCATTTGGCGTCCTTTGTACGCTATGTTGCACAGAAGCGATCCTGACCATGCCGCTTGAATACATAGATCTTGCTGGTTAGGATTAAGTGCAAAAATGTGAGTGTGCAAAATCAAATTGCTTAAAGATTTTGTATAATAAAATCACCTTCTTCCATAAGATGTCGCACTGAATTTTGTTACAGTAATACTCCTAGAGAGTAAGTAATACTCCTACAGAGTAAGTTCCTGCACCGGTCATGTCTGCTCAGAACGTAATAGGTATTTGAGACTTACCATAGAGGGACACCCCCGTCTTTAAATGAGGATTTTTCAGCATCAGGTGTTGTACTGCTGCTCCACCCCAGCAAAACCCAATGACACCAATCTTCTTTGCACCACATTGTTCACTTAGATACTTCACGATGACATCAACTTCTCTGAGACATGTAAATGAAAGTGAATTACGGCTCTAGCTCTATTCCCCTGGCCTCCAAAGTGGCTGCTGCTCGGAGACTGGCTGGGCATCAGTCTGCTTGTGGGAGGCCGTCAGTGACTGTCTTTGCATCACTCCTGTTTTTTCCCTTTCCTTCACTTATCAAACTGCCTTTATCTCAACCCATGAGTTTTCTTGCTGAACAGTTCCTCCTGTTCTCCCCCCTGTCCCTCTTGGGAGGAGTGAGTAAGTGGCAGTGTAGGTGCTTGGCTGCTGGCTGGGGTCAACCCCCAACACTAGTTTACTATTATTTATTTCTAAAATACAAGAGAAACTCCAGGGGAGAAGACAAAGGAGAAAATCAGTCTTCCTAGATCGCTGTTACTAGAACCTAAGGCGATTTTATAAACAGCAATCCAATTAATTTCACAAATGGCGATAGTTGTCTTTTAGGCTAACACAAAAGTTTAAGAAAGACACAGCCAGTCAAGAGCACTCCATTATCACAAATGTGACTATAGGTAAACTCTCTCTTATTGGGGAGACAAATATTTTATGAAATTGTGGAAGTAAATTTGAAATTGTTGCTTCAAAATCAGCAGTAACATTATGCAATCAAGCTACATGTCAGATAAAAATGGGAAAAATATACCTAGAAGAATGGGAAAGTAGTATGCTTTGAACTAGCTGGGATCTGAGGGGGAGCAGGACCAATGTTCCCTGGTTAAATAGTGTTTGGTGACTACGTTTGCACCCTATCTGCAATCCATGGAAGCTGTGCCTGCCTGCGGGAACTGAGCAGTGGAAGGACCAAGCTGCATTTTCTAGCCTTTGCTGGTTCTTTCTTTTGAGTCATTCATCTCACTTCTACTCTCTGCACAGGTAAACAGTGGGCGCTTTTTTTCTTGTTCAAAGTTGTACTTTTCTCCAAAAAGCACCCCTCACACACCCATGAGCTTGACCCACGAGCTACATGAAACTTCTGTTTGTGGACATCCAGCTTTATTTGACCCATTAATAATTTAGGATCTAATCCTGCATCTTTACTGAGGCAAAAATTCCTACGGGAGAAGGATGTCCACTCGCTGGACAAAGAACAATGGTTGTACTTGTCTATTTTGCCGGCATTTCGGGTTTTCAGCCAGTCATCGAAAGATGCCCAGTCATTAGAAGGTTTCCAAGCTTCTTGCCCCACAAAAAAATCTGGGCAGATGGCTCTGCAAGAAAAATGAAAACATTTTATGCCCATGAAATAATACTGAGAAAGGATTAAAGGGAATTCTGTGTGTACTCTACAACAAATTCATTTTGTTGAATACGCATAGAATTTAATCTACATCAAAGCACCATACAAGCAACCCTCATTATTTTTCTATGTCTAATAAGGAGACTTAGCATAACTTCCAGATACATTTTCCCCTGTTAAGATTCATTAATTAATTTGACAAATTGTTAACTGCAATTGAAAATCCTTAGTGGTTTCTTACCGAATTTAAAAAAAACCAACCCTACGATTTACATGGTATGTACATTTGGGCTAGAAGTAACGCTAACCCAGTAGAACAGGAAAAAGGACACCCAATATTCTTTTCACGTATTTGAGAACTTGTTTCTTTCTTTGGCACAAGCTGGTACGCTTTACCTTCATGGAATGACTTCCAGCTTCTCTGGAATTTTTACCGTAACAGCAAAGTTGCACAGATGCTACGTCGGGAGGGAGGATGCAGGCTGCTTCGGGCTCATGGAGGATGAAAGATGCAGAATAAGAATTTTCTCTGTTTCCCCTCTCTTCTTCTGTGCTTGCCTACTATCTGATTACGGTAGGACTACTCAACTATGTTAGACTTCTTACACTGTTTTAACAAACAGGAAACTCTTTAGAGAAACATGTAAGTGAAGCCTATGAAATTATTTGTGTTTGTATGGTTTATATAAAAAAAGGAAACAGTTGGCTCAACAAACTTTCTTATTAAAAAGACACTTTGAGAACAGTAGTATTTCTTACATGTATCCATTAGCCGCAAG